GAAACACAGGCTTTAGCCACTAGCACCTCAGCATGGATTAGTTTATCACACTAGGCAGGGAAGACAGGACTGAACTGAGGAAATGTAATGTTGGACAGGTGAGACCGAAGGTTCTAGCTTAGAGTGTTGTCTGTTGGGGGTGGGGGAGTCTTAGGTGGGGTCTTCAGTGCCCCTTGGAAACTAGGGAACATTTTAGTATCAAGAGGGAAAAAAGGAAATTACTGGAAGAGGAGAGGGACATAGAGAAGAGAGAATTGTTTACTTCACAATATTGCTTAGGACCAACCATGTAAATAAAAAGAGTTGCTGCAAAGGCTTAAATAAAGCTGCAGTCAAGTCTTGATGATTTAACCCACCTTGTCTAAAAAATTTTTAAGGTTATAAGCCCTAATATATTTTATGTAAAATGATTATGGATACTAATATAGAAGAAAATATATGTGTTATATATATTTCATATATACTGATATGTAATATAATTAAAGAGACATGTATTTCCTGTTTGAAGTTCAAGCTGACAATAGTCAGAATGCATGACTCTCTTGGAGTGCTCATTTCTAGGATGCAAATGTTTCTAGTGACGTGGGGGGCCTGTGTCAAGTCATTGCACGTTTACAAAACTGCTAGTAGGGTTCCCCTAGAGAGGAAATACTTCATTGGAGCTTTAGTGCAGAAACTGGCACAGGTAGGTGAAACGTTTTCATAATTGCCACTAGGCAAAAGAGAGGGCCCTGGAGGATTCTTCTGCCCAAGGGAGCCCCTCCCTGGTTATAAACTAATTTGCTGCGTGTACGTGGACCAGATGGTGGAATTAAACCTTCTCGGGTATTGTGGTTAGATTGTTTTAAAATGTCTGGAGACTCCTGGAAATGTGAAAAGTCATGTCTCTTTTTCAAAGGACCATCCTCTTGTGGTTTAAATGTGGGCTCTTGAAACTGAAAATATCACTCATGTGGCTAAAGGGTGGGGTCTCTTTGTTTTCTTCCTTCCCCTGTTGGGGTGTACTATAGGAAGGCTGTAAAATTCTTGACTTAATGTTTGTGTTTTGATAAAGGTGGCTCTAAGGTAGCAGGACAGGGGGCTCAAAGTTAGTCATTGAAGAGGGGCCTTGCTTTCTACAGATCTTCTACTCTGAAGAACTGGCCATCCCAACCTCCTTGTCACAGCCATTCAGCACATTTATACATCTACCTGCCTGTCGTATTGTGCAAATAAGCTACAGAAAACTCTCAGGAGGCTACCTTAGTAAGTGAAAGGCGGCAGGGCAAAAAAAAGTATAGGCAAGAGAGAGGTATTATATGTAAGGTAAAAGAATACAAAATACATATCTAAGTGAACTCTGAAGTACACGAAATAAATATACCATCTGAAATGGTTCCCTGAAGAAGCCAGCTATTGGAGGCACTGAAGTGTCTGGAAACTGAATGTGCTGCTGGGGTCAAGAAAGTAAAACAGATAAGCTCCTCATTCACCCTGGGCCAAAAAACAGGGCATACCTGCCCCTGGAACACAGTGTCCTGTTCTGTGTGCTTAGATTCAAGATAAGTCTAATGAAACGGAGCCAGTGAAGAGGAGACCAGCTGAAATAATCAAGATTAGGGCCCCCACATCCCTCCCATAGAGAGCTACTGAGATGGCAGGATTGCACAGTGTAAACAACAGAAGGATGGTGTTATGGCTGACTTGTGTCCCCCTAGAATTCATATATTGAAGCATAACCCTCAGTACCTCAGAATGTGACTGTATTGGAGATAGGACCTTTAGAGAAGTAATTAAGTTAACTGGGGTCATTAGAGTGGGTGCTAATCCAATGTGACTGGTATAAGGACTGGTGTCCTTATAGGAAGAGACTGGGACACAAAGAGACAGACACCAGAACATGCATGAAAAGAAAGATGTCTATGTGAAGACACAGGGAGAAGATGGCCATCCGCAAGCCAAGGTGAGAGGCCTTAGAAGAAACGAACCCTGCCCATACCCTGATCTTGAACTTCCAGCCTCCAGAACTGTGAGAAAATAAATATTTGTTGTTTAAGCCACCCAGCCTGCAGTATTTTGCTATGGCAGCCCTAGCAAACTAATACAGTTGTGAACAGATGTGATTAAATGATTTAAAGTCATGAAGGGTCAAGAAAAGGCTATGAATATTTCAGAATACATCTAGGTCAGTTTCATAAACCAAGGTTTGTATACTCTACCTACATCAGAACCACTCATATTTTTTGAAAAGCAGGTTCCCAAGCCCCTTTGGACTAGAGTATTAAAAATCTTCTGGAATGAGGTTCAAGAATCTCTCTTTTTGATAGACACCCCAGGTAATGTTTCTGTACACTAAAGTTTGACACCTGCTGTGTAAGGTCCTGCCCAACCTCTGGCCCTTTTCTGGGCATGACTGGTTGGTACTAATTACATCTCAGCAAGTACTGGTGTGTCTGGCGCTCTGGCAGATGCTCTGTGATCCAGGAAGCAGGTACAGATTGCATTATAGGTTCTCTCTCTCCAAGCGTCAGCCAGTGTTTGCCAGCATGTGGGGAATGCCGAATGGGATGGACCTATTGGAATCCTTAGAGCAGTTTACTCTTCATTCTTGGGAGAAATATGTGCCTCACTTGTCTTACTCACTTAAGAATATAAGGACATATTTTAAGTAATCTACAGTACATGTATTATTTCTCTCATGAGATTTATTTAAAGATGCTATTACCTTGGCACCTAAATTCTCAGAGGAAATACAAGGAATTGAAGGGTCATACTTCACTTTTCTCTTGCCATACAACAGTCGAACTTACACAGAAAGATCTGACAGGGCTTTTGCCTTTTTATACCCTGCACAGTTAAAACATAATATTAGTGAACTAGATAAACAACATATATAAATAAAACAAATCAATGATGAATGGAAAGGAATTTAATAAATTATTTCAAACAGGGTCTATGCTTTCCTATTTCCTCATCACCCTAGGGAATAGGAATAGAAAATATTCTTTCATACATTACAAGGTGAATTTTCTTTCCTTCACGTAGAAACCAAAGAGGAGCTGAAGTTAAGGACTGAGGGAGGTGGGTGGAGAGAGAGAGGGAAAGAGAGGGAGATGGCTGAGAGTCCAAAGCAAACAGTGATAAACGTTTCATAGGCAGAATAGGTGGCTTTCTGATTTAAATATGGCATTTCACTTGGAGCATGTAAAAACACCCTCCCCCATTTTACAAACGTGATTAAGGGCTATAACAAGATTGTATGTTTGTTTTTTTAAAGTGAAATTTAGGTAGGCCATATGAGAATGTTCAGGTACACAGGTCATAGGACTATTTCTCTATTTTCCTTCTGGTGGTCCAACCTGTGAAACAGAATGCAACTACAGTATCCCAGAAGTGACCACTACAGGGGTACATGTGACCACAATTTTTTGAACACTTAATGACAGTCACTGCCTACCTTGACTAACTAAATTTCAGTATTTCGGTGTAAACCACTCATTCCCACTGAATTCCTTTTTTTGCGGGGGTAGGGGTCGGGGGGAAGGTGGATGGAGAATTGGAATTGTCATTAATGTTCTAGGTCCTTTCCAGGAGCAAGAATTTTGGCACTTCACATGAATTGATTT